TGAACAGTGACGCGAAATCACCCTGGCTGGTCTTTGGTGGGCTGGTGATCCTATGAAATCAGATGTTGATATATGAAAACAGTGTTTCTGATTTGTTAAATTACCACATTAACAGCAAGTGCTGCTAGTTTGATTTGCACCTGATACGATAAGAAGCTAATTATATGGCAGGGCAACCCACGTGGCAGGGCAATTTCAGTCCTAGCAACACAATATTTATCTGGACAGCAAACAGTCAAGCTGCTAATTCAAGATGCAGTCTTTTCCAGAGACTTAGCCAATGTGGTAAAAAACAACGTTCCCCGTTCCTCACACAGACACTCTCCAGGTTTAGGAAATAAACTATAACTTAATTTTTGGTCAATTTCTGATTTAGAAATGATTTACTGATGGCCTTTTGTAATAAGAATTTTTATATTAAATAGTCTCAAGTAAAAGTGTGTGGTCAATGATAGGCACCCAAATACAGAATCCCAGACTATTTGCATTTGTAGATTTAGAAGAGAGAATCTTATACTTTTTTTTTTAATTTATAGGCTTTATTAGATTATAAAAGGGAATACATAGGTGGGGGAATTTTTGAAAATACTTAAGAATCATAGAGATAGTCACTGTTACTCTTGGGGTATATAGTTCCTTCCAGATTTTGTTTGTTTGCTTTCCTCAGTTTCAAAATATGTAACTTATTCTTTTATAACTTGTATGTGTGTACACGTGGGTGTGCAAAATACGGCAGTCGGCACATTATGGCCCACACTCATCTGTCTGCTTACTGCCTATGGCTGCTTTGATGCCACAATAGTAGGATTGAGTATTTGTGACAGGGACTGTATGGCCTGCAAAGCTGAATGCAGCTCCCGTCTAACCCTTTACAGAAAAGTTCTTCCATCCCGGTTTTAATATGTCAGACATTCCGTGGCATCAGATGTTCTTCAGAAATGTGCTTTGAAGGACTGCATAGTGTTCATGTGAGTGGATCAAAGTCACGTTGGACTTTACCTTGTCCCTTATTGCACACATCCTGTCCACTGGGAAACCCTCTTGGCTCTGTCTCCAGATACGTCCTAGATCCCCCAGCTCTAACCTGGGACCTGGGCCAGATCTCACCTCTCCCTGGCCCCCTAATCTTTCTCTTGTCCCTGAAGAGGCTGGTCCCCACGCCATCCAGAGCTGACTCCTGTCCTAGGAAGGTGGAATATATGCCCAACACAAGGTGGTCTTGAACCTGGGGTGACTGTCCCCTTTTCATTGCCAAGGCCCAGGTAAAGCTTGTGGACACCTTGGCTATATAGGGTTCCAGGAATATAAATTTAAAGAGTCATATTTTTTACTCATATGCATTGTAATCTCTGTAAAATCAGTGTCTGTTAATTTAGTTAGGTTAAGATAGGTAAAAAAAATCACATCTTTACATAATATGTTTTTTAAATGCTGCTTTTCCTACTTTCTCTTTATGCCAGGTTTATTGAAACTAAGGCCACTTTTTGAATCTAACACATTTTCCAGAAAAGGTTGTCTTCACTACTAAGCTGTGATAGAGCATGTTTAAAAATTAGAGTCCTGGCCGGGCACGGTGGCTCACGCCTATAATCCCAGCACTTTGGGAGGCCGAGGTGGGTGGATCATGAGGTCAAGAGATCGAGACCATCCTGGTCAACAAGGTGAAACCCCATCTCTACTAAAGATACAAAAATTAGCTGGGCATGGTGGCGCATGCCTGTAATCCCAGCTACTCAGGAGGCTGAGGCAGGAGAATTGCCTGAACCCAGGAGGCGGAGGTTGTGGTGAGCCGAGGTTGCGCCATTGCACTCCAGCCTGGGTAACAAGAGCGAAACTCCGTCTCAAAAAAAAAAAAAAAAAAAAAAAATTAGAGTCCCTAGAAATTGTACTAAGCTATGAATAGCTATTTTGATCAGTCTCTATCATACAACCACTTACTATGTTATTAATACTTTTTGAAGAAATTTTGCAAGGCTATTTACAATGACGCTTAGCCTTTTCAGTTGTGAGGTCACACCCTCAGAAAGAATTATGAGATCTGTAATAAACTTTCTTCTTCTTCTTCTTCTTCTTATTATTATTATCAATTCTGTCAGGCAACTTCTGTGACACCTAAAAGGCTCCAAACTGGCATTGATGCCATTTCAGCCATTCTTCCTTCCCTAGAACTTTTAAATTCAAAATAAATAGAATGTATGGCCCTGGTATATGTCAGCTTTTGTTAGATCACAAAAGCATGGGTACCTACTTTTTTTGAGAGAGAATTTTAGGTAAAGCAAAGGAAAACTTTGCCTCGTGTTCAGATGTATGAAGCGGCATTTCAGTTGCACACAGCCTTGTAAAACCCTGAGCAGTGCGGCCCGGCTGGCATGGAGGAACAGGCTGACTTGGTGGTTTAGAGCTCCACCCTAGAGCCAGAGGGCCTAGGTTCAAATCCCAGCTCCCCAGTTTACCAGCTCTGTGATTTCGGCCAAGTGACTTAAGTGCTTTGACCCCATTTCTAAGGTTTTCCAAGAAGCAAATTCTGAGTTGGAGGTCGACACATTTAACAGGGCATGGTCTTGGCATCATCACCAAGGAGGGAAGGAAAAGGAAGCAGTCATGGACAAGGGAGAAGCTGAGCTGTGTTGCAGTCCCAACAAACGCCTCAGCCGACACCTCGCAGAGTTGTCCCAAATTGCCACAAGGCAGCCAGTCTTCCGCACCCCTGTGCTGATCAGTCACTGGCTCACCCTAGGAGGAAATGAGACATTGGGGTGTTAGTTGTCTGCAGCAAAGATGGTACCCACAAAGGACTAACAGCTGTGTGGCATCCTCTGCAGCATTCCTGCAGCTGGAGGAGGAGGTCCTTCATTTCGTAAGGGGGAACCGGTGGTGTGCATCACAGAACCCCTCACGGGGTGATAACAGTACCTTTCTAATGTTCTAATATTCTGAATATTCAATTAGAAATAGAATTAGAAATATATTTCTAATATGCTGATATTGATCATAATGGATTAAGATCTGTAGAAATGTTAGAACAGCGTTGAACTCACAGTAACTGACGTGTATTTGTTAAACAAAATTCAAACCTTGGGCCTGACTCATCTCCTCCTGTCGCTTTCTTCTTAATTATTCTACTGCCTTAGTAAGTTCCAGACCCTACTTTTGGAATATGCCAGTTTTACTCCTGACTCTGGGTGGTGGTTTTTGTTTTTGTTTTTTTTCGACAAAGTCTCACTCTCTTGCCAGGCTGGAGTGCAGTGGTGTGATCTCGGCTCACTGCAACTTCCACCTCCCAGATTCAAGTGATTCTCCTGCCTCAGCCTCCTGAGTAGCTGGGACTACAGGCGTGCACCACCGCGCCTAGCTAATTTTAGTACTTTTAGTAGAGACAGGGTTTCACCACGTTGGCCAGGATGGTCTCAATCTCTTGACCCTGTGACCCGCCTCGGCCTCTCGAAATGCTGGGATTATAGACTCAGGGTCTTTATAGTTATTCCTGGAATGTCTCTTTTTGAATCCACATTTTCCCACGTAATGCATGGGGGGAGCCTCTAAGATTAGGGTCTCAAAGCCTCCTTCCTGCTTTAGCTTTGCCTGGTGACTAAGGCAGTTGACACTGGTCCTGTGACTTGTTAGGTCACATGAGATTGCACAGAATGCGCCCCCAGTAAGTATGTGATGAATGAACCAATGAGACTGGAGATTTTCTTATCTGCTCAGCGGCATGCCTGTGGATCAAGACTGATTGATTTTTCTTGGAAATGAAATGTTTTTCTACAGAATCTCCCTGAGCAATTTGATACCCACAGCAAGGGCTCTCCATGGTCATCGGGAGACCTCCCCAGTGTGATGGTTAGATTCATGTCAGCTTGCCCAGGCTATGGCGCCTCATTGTTTGGTCACGCACAGTGTAGATGTAAAGGTATTTTTTAGATGTGATCCACGTGGTTAAGTCAGAGCACCTTACTTGACTCTGGGCAGATTACCTTCCACAGTGTGAATGGGCCTCATCCAATTACATGAAGGCCTTAAGAGCAAAGACTCAGGTCCCTTGAATGGAATTCTGTCTGCAGACTGCCCTCAGACTCAAGATGGCAACTTCTAGAATTTTCAGCCTGTTGACCTACCCCGCAGATTGCAGGCTTTCACAGTCACATAAGCCGTTTCCTTAAAATAAATCCCTCTCTCTCTCTATACATCCTATTGGTTCTCTTTTCCTGAAGAACCCTTATGCATCTAGGAACCCAGTGTCTGCTGAGTCTCCATCCCCCAGTTTTGCTTAAATTGCTGCAGTGTTTGTCTGGGGATCTATAGATGTGGGCCCGTGACTTTCAGGCAGGGCAGAGGAAGACACCATCTCATCTAATGAAGCTGTTTCCCAGCTGACTTGCTCAAGAGGAGCCTTGCTTGTGCCTTAGGGTTTGTAACTGGTGCGTTGTGAAGAACCTGGGAACAGTGGTTTCCCATTGTTGATAGGGCCTCCCTGTCCATCTCCTCACATGAGGCCAGCTGCACTTTCCTGGGAGGGAGGGGAGAAGGGGACCTGAGCATTCCGGAGGACGCAGGTTGGCACAGCGTGCCCCCATGCACAGCCGCCTGCAGGTGTGGGCAAGCCCATGTGGTTTCCTGGCCTCTCATATGGCTCTGACACAGCACGTCCCTTCCTCTTCCCTTACATTTAGGACTGGGATGATGTTGAGATTTTAACTGCTTGGGAAAGACACAGAAGCTGGAGTAGCAGGAGTGTTAAACAGGCCACTGCCCTCTACAGTATTCAACACAACTTGTGATTTCATTATCTTGTTAAAAGTAATACAAAACCACGTTTGATAGAAGCAAATTCTCATTGGTTATAAATCAGGAGGCCGAAAGCAGCGTCTGGCAGTGTGAATCCACCATGAAAATGTATGATGGATTGTGTGTATGATGTTGCCATGGTTTGATGCTAAAAGTAGATGGATGTAAAGAAGCCAAGTCTCCTTTCTATTTCTGAAACTTGGACTTCCTCTAGTACTCAAAATAGGAAAGAAACATGAAAGGTAAGGACTAGTGGCACACATGGAAAGGAAATCTGGATGTGGTTTAAGTTTTGGAGATTTTATCAAAGTGAGGGGGAGATGGCAGGCTGTCGCTCACAGCTTTCACAGGAGCACGCTGGAAATGATTCACACGGCTCACTGCAGTGGAGACGCTCACAGCATCAGGAGCACACATGTCGCCCCTTCTCACATGTGTTGGTGGAGGTGGGCACTGGGGCACAGATGTTGCCTTGTTGGTCGGCTCAGCTCAGGCTCTGCATTCATTGCTGGTGTTGCCTGTTGGCTGGGCTGATGCTGGCTGGGAAGGAAGTGCGATCATCTTCGAGGGGACTGGTTGCTCTGTGGTTAAGGCTGAGCTCAGCTGGAAGGCAGGACAGGGTTGGACAAGTTGAGGGGAACCTTGCTGAGAGGGCAGAGAGGTGGCCCCTTCAGATCGCCTGGGGTTGGAGGAGGAGTCAACAGAAAGGGGAGGCAAGAACAAGTTTATGCCTAGAACAGTGTGAGTATGCAAATCACAGAGCACTGGATTAGTGCCCACAGTATCCGGTAAACCCGAGTCCTCACTGATGGAAAGAAATGATTGGACACACAAGTATTAGTAACCTGAGGGGAGGGGAGAGGCAGGTCTTCCTTGTAAGTGTCCAAATGCTGTACATTGATACTCCCCTGCTCAGGAGTGAGAGTCCTGTCCCTTGCACCACACTCTCTCCCTCTTTGAGCCTGGATTGGATTTAGTGACTTGCTTTCTAAGAATGGAGGATGGAAAGGGAAAAATAATAACTTTACAGTTGCAAACTTGGCAGATTACTTTATCCAAGTGATCAAGTTAACAACACTTGCGAGATGCCATTTGGACATCATCAGACCCCATGTGATGTGATGAGAGGGGCACTTCACCTCGTGGTTTCCCCCCAAACCCACAATCTCAGCCTAATGATGAGAAAAGCACTGGACGATTCCAAAGTGGTGAATCTCTGCAAATCACTCCTGACACTCCTCAGATCTGTCCAAGTCATGATAACTGAGGAAAGGCCACGTCGTTCTCAGAGACCACAAGAGACCAAGCTGATACCCAGATGGAATGCGGCGTGGTTCAGTATCCAGGTATCCAGGTATCCTAGAAGGGATAAAGTGAAAAACAAAAGCCAACCAAAAACTAGCCAAGTACCAAGTCTGGAATTTAGTTCATAGTATACCAGTGGTTTTCAGTTTCTACAAATGTGCCATGGTTATGTAAAATGTTAACATGGGCAAAACTGGGTGACAGAGATTAGGAGCTGTCTTTGCAACTCTTATGTAAATCCAGCTTCCCTCCCTCCCTCCCTCCCTCTCTCTGTCTCTTCCTCCCTTCTTCCTTTCCTCCCTTCCTCTCTTCCTTCCTCCCAGGCTGGAGTACAGTGGTGCAATCACAACTTACTGCAACCTCGACTTCCTCGGCGCAAGCGATCCTCCCATATCAGCCTCCTGAATACCTGGGACTACAGGCTTGTGCTGCCTTACTCAGTTAACTATTTTAAATTTTTGTAGAGACAGGGTGCCACTATGTTTCCCAGGCTGGTTTCGAACTCCAGGGCTCAAGTGATCCTCCCACCTTAGCCTCTCCAGGTATTGGGATTACAGACATGAGCCACTGCACCTGTCTCCAATATTATTTCAAAAAAATTATTAACATAAAGCAAGTTTGTGTCCGCCCATAGGAGGGGGCTGCCGGATGCTGGAGGAAACTCCTCATGAGCAATTAGCGTGGAGACAGGAGATTGGGGAGTAACATCATCAGAGTCTTATTAGATCCAGTTTCTCTTCTGAGAGTCTTTAAGATGAAAGTTTTGGGTTTGTTTTACTCTATTTTTAAAGCTCATGATTTTTTCTAGTTATTGAAGGTGTTTTGCTCATACCCCAACAGACGCGAAACCACTTACTGGATACCTTCAAGTTGCTACATCATATAGAACCCTGAGGGGGCCTGAAGGAGATACCCCATGTTTCGCAGAGTACAGATGATAAACTGTCCCTCTCCAACACGTGGTTTATCTCCAGACAGTGATTGAGGCAATGAGGAAATGAAAGCCCAGTAGGTTACTGGAGGCATCCGCCCTTCCTAAGAAGCAGTTCTGAGTGCTCCTAAGTCAAGGCCTTCTTTTCTCCATGTACCAAGATCAGTGTGGTGCTCAGCTTACTCTGGTAGCAAATGCTTATCCAGGAGCTGCTTCCTCTTGGAAAATGCCTAGATCCCACAGGATGGTGTCCCAGAAACCATCCCCCAGTTTCCCAAGCCCCATTGCTTGGAGGAGAAGTCCTTCCAGTGTCTGAGGCAACTCTCATCCCTCTCCAAGGCTGGCTCAGCACATGAAGCTGATGCAGCCAAGGCCACAAGGCCGTCAGATGGCACATGGCAAAGGGTACCCAGTGGAGGTGTTCTGGTCCCCTGGCCCACACCCCCGAAGTGAATATGGAAATACTGATTCACTTCCAGAGCTGTGAAGCTACAAAGGCTCCCTTTCAATTTCACTTCTCCAAAAATTACCAGGTAAATGTATAACCAAGAAGCATGTTATCAGTTGCTATTTAAGGACTGAAATCGTTTAAGGTTGACATCAGCAGAGTGCAATAAGGAAGATCGACGTGTAACAGAACCCATAGTTAAACAGAAGGGTATATGTAATTGCTCCTGTGTTGCATTATGCTTTTAAACTCGGGAGATAAGGTTTGTGTTGAGCTGTGGGCCACCCTTGTTGATTCACTCATGTCCCTACTGTCCACAAAGCGCTCTGTCTCTATGGTGTGTGGACTTTGAAAAATTCCCTTCCTGATGTTGGCTGAGAGCAGCAAGGCTTGAGCCAGAGCTCTTTTGCTGCTATGACACTTTGTTCTCCATGCCTCGGAACCAAAGATTCTCTGTCAAGGAGCTTCACCCCTGAAACGCACATGCCACATCACCTTAGAAGACAGCTTTAAATAAGAAAGCCAGAGGAAGATCGTTTCAGGAACAGGGGAGTTCTGTGAAGGGCAGCTTGAACCAGCTGGCAGTGCTGACCCCCTAGGGAATTTGGTTTTTACAAGTGTTTAAACTGTGGGGGTGAGGGTTTTAGAGAAGTTCTGAGGGATTTGGAAGGTAGGATGGGAAGGGAGAAGGATGGGAAGGAGGACAGATAGAGAAGGAAAGTGGCTTCATATCAGAGGCATAGCAATGCAGTTTTAAGGAGAAGAGGCATGAGGAAATGAGTAGGAATAAAACCGGTTCCAGGTGACCCACAAGACTTCTGAGAGGGAGTCACAAACCAGAATTCATAAAGACCGTGTTCCGTGCAATGGAAGGAATCTCAGTAAACGCAGGACTCGATGCAGAACAACTCAGTGGCCCTGGCCAAGGCCTGGGGTTTGAGCCCTGCCCTGTTTCCTGCAGTTATTTCTCTGGCCTTCCTAAGCTGTCACCAAGCTCCCCCCGCCCGGCCGTGTTTCCCGAGGCTACTCCTGTCCTCTGAATTCCCTGCCACTTCCTGCTCTTCTTCTCCATCTGCCATCACCCCACCCTTCCTGGAATGAAGCCACAAATGAGGGGAAGATGGGTTCTCACAGACTTCACACTTTGCATCATGTTTGCAAATGGTCATTAACTGCTAAATATCGCAACTTAAAAATTATTTTAAATTAATTTAAATTACTTCTAATGGCAAAAACTACAGTTACTTTTGCACCATCCTAATAGCAGCAGTCAGTGAACTTTTCTTAAAACAACTATTGATTAGAAAGGACATCAAGCACACCCCCATAGAGATCAGCATGATGAAATAGGCTGGAGCAGGACACCGCCCTTGCAGGCTGTGACTCTTCACCTGTCTTTCTGTCTTTTCTCACCCCTTCCCAGCATTGCCTTTGCAAGTCCATGTCCTGCTCTCCTGGCCTTCTCTCCCACCATCTCCTGGATGGCTGCAGTCCGCTGTGTTCAGGCCATGATTTCCAGATAGCTCGGCCTCAGCATAGCTTTTTGGGAGACACAGGCTAACCCACAACAGGGTCAGGCAGCAGGCATGGCACAGGCTGGACAGGAAACGGGTGAGAAGCTCATGCTGGTCAAAGTGATGGTCTGTGGCACAGACGCGGTTCCAGTTGTTGGTCCCAACTGAGACCATAACACACTGGGCAAAATCAAAGTTCTGACTATTGCAGGGTAAGCAAATAGTGATATGTTGCTTGATCCTACAATTTTATGGCTATCTAGAGACAGGGAGAGGTCGTACCAGGACAAGAGGTGCACCTGGGGACTGTCCCCGGCAGACTGGGAAACAGGGTGACTACAGTGATGTTTCCAGACCGAGAATGGAGGCAGCCCACTGAAGAGCTCAGGGACAGGGAAACTTCAGAGGCTCAGGGTATTGGTTTGAGTGTCCCGGCTATTTTGGGCTGAAAGGAGCTTTGAGGAAAACACTCCATGCGCTAAGCTTAAAAAGAGTTAAAAAGATAAAATGGGCAGCTGGGTTAAGTCTGATCTAATTATTCTGAGAAGAGACAGAGAAAAAGGTTCTGCTTTCTTCCACTGGCTGTCCGGATGAGGCAGGACACTGCTTGCCCCTGTATCTTGAGAAACTCTGGGTTTCCAAGGACCTGAGTCGGGGCTCTCTTTGCAGGGATTGAGACCATGTGTCAGTGACCTGCCCCATTTAAACGTGCAGAATGCTTGTTGGGTTGGTGGTTGTATCTTTTACAAATAAGATTGCTATAACATAATATTTGGGGGAAAAAGTTTGTATTTCTTTGAAAGCCACTGATCTAGGACAAGTCTAAGTGTGGTTCCACCAACCAGGTAGTGAGGGAGTGGGTACCACCTCTCCTTCCGCAGCGTGGTACACATGCATTATCCATCAGATGGCCATTATCGGTGGCATCATTTATACCGCGGGCATAGGTGCTCATTTCATCTTTTGATTTTTGTTTGTTTGAGTGTGTGTTTTTTTTTGTCTGATCTAAAAAGGAAAATGTCTTCTTCCTCTTTGTTCCAGAAATATCTTGGGTTTGATACTAGTTTCATACCTTTTTTTCACTTTTGCAAAGTGCATAATACATACTCTGAATTTTTTCCTGGGCAACAAATTCTGTACTGGTGACACTGGGAGTCTTTGGTGGGCTATGGAAGATGGAGATGGGGAATTCTTAGACTCTTGAGTCAGTGGGTGGAGGGTTTGCTTTAGTTTTCTTTCTTGTATTCTTTTAGCCAACACGTTTTTTTTTTTCCTTACCAAACAGCTTCTCAAAGACTGATGGTTATGTGAAGGGGAGAAAGGTGTCAAGAAAGGTGAACATTTGGCTTTGCAAGTGGCAATGATTTTCTAGGGCATACTGTATGATGAAATTGCAAAGGAGAATAAAAATGCTCGTTTAAAGTATATTACTAATATTAAATGGACATACATTTGGAAAGAGAGTATACACAGGAAAATTTAAAATGTGGAGGTGTTTGCCCCTTTGGGCTTCTGCAGCATGTGTGGGCTCTGCTGGAGTGGAAGGATACCCAGCCAAGGTACAGCGACCTGGAGGTGACTCCTGGCTCTGTCACCCACATGTCACCTGGCTTTGCTGTGCCATAGTTTCAGCACTAAAAATCTTGGTGATCACTTCAGTGGCACCCAGCATCTCTCCCATATCTGAATTCTGTGAGTCCTTAAGTTCTGGATGTCTAGTAGATTTCAGGTCAGCAAAAATGAGGAAACCCTTAGCGCCTTAGTCTCCAGCAAGGTGAAAGGTGCCATCTGGGTGAAGAAGCCATTTTAGGCCTTCAGTGGGGGGACACTTGCCATTTGTGTAGCCACACTCAAGGTCTGTTATCTGTGCTGTCCTTCTTTTCCCTCTGATATGGTTTGGATCTGTGTCCCTACTAAAGCTCATACTGAACTGTGATCCCCAGGGTTGGAGCTGGGGCCTGCTGGGAGGTGATGGGGTCATGGGGCTGGAGTTCTCATGAATGGTTTGGCACCATCCCCCCTTCATACTGTCCTAGTGAGTGAGTCCTCACAGGATCTGGTTGTTTAATGCTGTGTGGCCCCTTCCCCGTCACTCTCTTTCTTGCTCCAGCTCTGGCCATGTGATGTGACTGCTCTCCCTTCCCCTTCCGCCATGA